GAGCTAGAAGGAATCATGTTGAGCGAGGTAAGCCAAGAACGAAGATGCAAACGGTACATGGTCTCCCTGATAAGTGGATGCTAAATCCAAAATGTTAGGTGATATGACAAAACTAACAGGACTTAAGAAACAAAGAACTCCCACTCATCTGGTTGAACCACTATTAAATATCCCCATGCTGCTGATCACATATATGGTATATAACATGTGAACACCGTTATATGTTACAGACTGTGATAGACAATTTGCTCCAGGAAAGTTAGAATGAACTCGTGACTTTAAATGAGCATCATTATTCCACAATACTGTGAATTTCCGGAAATTATGCAATCACTTAATCACAATCAAAATAAAAAAAGAACCTCGGGGAAGGGAGGGAGGGAGGGGATGGTAGGGGGAAAACAATGGAGGGGGTAACAATGTTCAAGAGGAAGTGTACTCATTACCTCACTCATGTAACTTTAACTCTCTGTATAGTATCTTTACAATAAAAAAAACATATAGTTCACTGTATATCAATAATACCACAAAATTTTGTTCAGAATGCAGTACATAAACACAAAAGAACAAAGGGCACCTAGAGAAATAGCAGCTATAAACAACACATCATGTTTGAAATTTCTTGAATCTTCCATAAAAAGATAAATAAGGAGAGTTAAACAAGAATTAAAAACACACATGCAACATCTATACTGTGAGTGCTAAGATTTCCCACACAAACTAAAAATAAATGCCTACATGGACAATAGCCAAAACTACACATAGTTTTGTATCCTCCCACAGCTGATGGGTTCAACGAGTACCAACTCTCAAAACTTCCAGAACAAAGGCCCACATGGAGGAAAAAGGCTCTGGAAAACTGAATCTGAACTACAGCACGGGAATAGAGCACAAAAATAAAACCAAAAAAAGGCCCATGTCACAGTGTGGGAGAACAGAACTAAGGAACTTCAGAAGGGAAGGCACCCTATTTTGAACACTATAGAAACAACCAAGAAGGGTCTCTAAAAATAGAAAGCTGTCCTGAAACATACCTTCTTCCTAGATTTAAAGATCA